GAACCGCATGAAAGAACCATCCGGCAAACTAGCTAGATGGGCAGTTAAATTGGCGCAGCACAACTTCGAATTGCTCCACCGGAAAGGGAAGCTTAACGTGGTTCCTGATGCTCTCTCGCGCGCCCATATCATCCCTCCACCATTAGTACTGAATGTAGATCTTTTAGGTGTAGATCTGAAGGACCTAGATCCTTGGTACGTAGAGCTACGTCAGAAGGTACAAAGCGATCCTGATAATTTTCCCAGTTATGCCATTAAGGATAATTACCTTTATCATTATCGTCCCTTAGACTTACGAGTTCCACAAACCAATATATCGCCTTGGAAACTTGTTGTACCGTCATCATGCCAAAAAAAAATTCTCGAGGCCAGCCATAACGTCCCTACTTCCGGTCATCTTGGTTTTTATAAGACCGTCCACAAAGTTTCTGAGTCTTACTATTGGCCAAAAATGAGGCGCGACGTTTATCTTCATATTAAAAAGTGTCCAGTGTGTCCTTCGCAAAAGATGCCAAATTACCTTAGGTTGGGTTTGATGGGTGCCCAGAGAAAAATCAAATTTCCTTGGCAATGTGTTTCTATTGACATAATGGGCCCTTATACACGTTCTCGTAAAGGAAACTCCTATCTAATTGTTGCCACCGACTATTTCAGTAAATTTGTTTTGATAAGGCCAGCACGTCAAGTAACCGCGAAAACCGTGGTGGACTTTTTGGAAAACGAAATCTTTTTGATGTTTGGTGTCCCCCAATATTTGATTTGCGATAACGGTACACAGTTTACTAGTAAACTTTTTAAAGATCTAGCCGCACAGTACAAAATTCAAAATATCTGGTACAACGCCCGGTACCATCCGCAAGCAAATCCGGTAGAGCGCGTAAACAGAACTATCGGAACGGCAATAAGATGTTTTATTAAAGATTCTCAAAAAGATTGGGATCTGCAAATACCTCGTATCAGTCATGCTTTAAGAACAGCAATCCACGAAGTCACGGGTTACAGTCCTAATTTTCTCAACTTCGGTAGGAAAGTGCCTGTTTCTGGAGAATATTACGGTCATAAAGAAAATCCTAACGCAAATTTCGATCTCGACGTTGATGACGTAAAAACTTTTGCAGCTGAGCTTAACAAGTTACCGGACTTGTACCGAAAAGTCCAGGATAAACTGACGGCTAACTATAAAAAAAATGCTAGAATCTATAATTTGAGGAGGCGTCATCACCAATTTAAAGTCGGAGAGAAAGTTTGGAAGAGAAATTTTGTTCTTTCCAACGCCGCAAAAGATTTTACCGCTCATCTCGCTCCTAGGTACCTTCTATGTACGGTTCATAAGGTCCGGTCACCTTTAGTTTATGACCTAAAATATGAAAACGGCACCGACGCTGGCGCCTGGCATGTCAGTCAGTTAAAACCTTATTTCCAGTCGGGTTCTGATATTTCGAACATGTAAATCTTTATGGGTGGAAAGGCTTAAGCAACCCAATAGATTTTCCGCCATTCTTACTATTTTTCGATATTTATTTCTTTCTTTGTTCATTTTTCATTTTTTTGTTATTCCCCCAACGTTCTCATACACAATGACGCATATCAATATTAGCCCGGTAGTAACAACGTGAGACTTAAAATGAATTTGACCCTATCTGATTTTGACTTTCACTCGAATTTGACCCACACCGATTATGTCCCTTTTTAGTAAGGCGTCTGGTACGCGCAGATACCGTCCTTGTTACTGCCATAGCGTCATTATGCTAACAAAAATTGACACCTCGCGTTATCAATTTTTTTTGTTGGCGAGGGGTAGTGTAACGTTTCAATTTTGTTGAAGAGATAAACGTTCCAATTGTTTTGTTTCATCCCTTCTTAAAAAAAAGGGGTTGTTTTATTGGGGATGCAATATTTTACGTGCCGACATCTAAGACATCATGGTTGCCTATGGGGAGTGTCAAACGACGTCGTGGCACTGCTAATGCGCTGGTACTCCCACCCCGCGAGAAAGAATATTCGAGAGAGTATCGACCTGATAGGGGAAGAGAGAGGTTCTCGTGAGGCGTTTTGGCGAAGATCCTGGAAGAAGGAAGTGCTAGGACGTAGCCGAAGAGGAGAAAAGAAGTTTTCGAGAAGATTTTGGTGGAGTTTCTGAAGGAAGGAAGTGGAAGGACGAAGAGGAAGTACTCAAGATAGAGATTTTTATCGTTTTGTTCGAAGCAAGAGGTTTATTTGAGCCGTTTTCGTATCGTCCACCACAGAAAAGAGGAATTTTATCGTTCGTTTTTTTATCACCGCACCCAAGTGAAGAGTTCCTGGAAGAACCAAGCTTATCGTGATGCCGTTGCAGTGAGTAGCTTATTGTCGTCCCTGTTGTTCCCTTGAAGAGACCATATCGAGCCGACGACTTTGATTTTCGCTGTTGTTCCTGCGGAGCCGCCGCTAACCTTGAAGTTTTTCTTCGGATCCAGAGGTCTGTGACGCCGCTGTTTCTTTATCAATCCCAATCCAGACGAAGAGGAGCTGCTGATAACTACGGTTACGAGCTAAGTCCACTCTAACGCCTTATAGTTCTAATTTTCCATTTAGTCGCCCGGTCACAGCTATCTTTATCGAAATTCTTGGAAGTTTTTTTTGTTTTTTAATTTATCATATCGCAAAATAGTTTTGTACGAGGACGCATGAATACATTTCATTTTCTAATATATTACTTTAATATATTTCAGTGATAGTCCCTTCTGGACGTTAAGGGTAATTTTTTTAATATTAGATGACTTCATTTAATCAACACTTGTCAATTTTATTATCCGTTGAATATATTTTTAGTTTTTTTTTTGTGTTTTCTTGTGGCTTGATTCTTCTCGACTGTTTACTCGACGTAGCGGAGTAAACTACCCCAACAGGAAGCTACGTGGCGCCCAATACAAAAAAATAATAAGAACTCTCCGAACCGCGACCCGCCCCGGCTAAAGAGCTGCCGTTCGCTGTAAAACCCTCCGAAAGAGGGTTAATTTTCTGGAATCAAATATTCAGCTACATAAGCTGTAAGTCTTGCCAGATTTGTGTCACCATGTATATTAATTTTTACTGTAATTGTGTAAGGTGTCTACTAGTTATTACAATATTCATGCTATCGATTTTAGCCGCAGGTTATTTTCCACGTTCCAACATTTATCACTAATAAATTAGCTTAGCGTATTTGATTAGTATCACTAACACAAACACCAGGAAATCGTTGGGGCGTAAATAATGGTTAAGACCTGTTAAACTTCGAAAAGTGCAATAAACTTCACAACACCACAACAGGAAATTACTTTCTGGTTTCGAAATAGCGTCTAATAAATAAATTTTTTCTACCGCCCACGTTTTTTGGTTTTCTAATAGAGCTATTAACGCACGCAAATGACGTCACAGCAGTTCGTTAATAGCGGAAAGGCGTTCTTTAATAGATCTGGTGTAATTTAGATCGGTAAGATTGGTAGCAATGACGAGAAATGTCAGGTGAATGTCAGTGGCAAATCTAAACTTAAAATTTCCCACGTTTCCGGACGCGTAACTTCTTCGCAAGACATTTTAACCAATTTTAAATTACGAAAACTCGAATTGATTCGAATTACAATTGTTGTTGTGAAAATTCGAACCTCAAATATTTCGTGGTTAGTATCAGACCAATCCATCACCAACCACGACAAAAGTCCCCAGATTAAAAAAAGTGCAAATTTTAATTAAATTTTGGGAAAAAACGTGTGCGGTAGAAAAAATAGTATAAATAACTCGTTCATAAGGCCATTGAGGCACTCATCCTTTATATAACTCGCGGCTTCGCCGCTCGTTCTATAAACTTGGATTCGTGCCTCAATATTTGCCTTATGAAACTCGTTCTTTAATATACTATTGGTGTAGAACGAATTTGTACTTCTAATGATTCAAAAGAATGTTTAATCGCTATGCTTGTGAGGTGAGTGTCAATAGAACAGTGTTTCTGATACAAGTGCATTAAACATATCTTTGCTCTAATGCTTTAGATAACTCTTGTAGCTATTTTTCTAGTGAAACTAGAACTTTAGTGGTTAAGCGGGAAATACTTATTTTCTTAACAAAGCCAAAGGAAGGATAGAAATCTAAAATGTCCATGATGTATACTGAAGTGTGAATGAGAGTGCTCTAGAGGTATTGTTGATATTCTATGATACAACTGTTATTTTCAGCATTGTCGGTTCGGACTATTTCCGAAACAGCACGTGTCTCTCGGAGAACTAAATCAATTAGCATGATAATTGATCACATTAAAGTTAAGCAAACATAGTTGATTGTCAGAACTTCCGATACGTAAACGTGTTTACGATAGTAGAGCAACAAGCGATACTTTGGGGGATCTACATTTATTACACACTATCGCATAAATGTCAGTCTTTATTCCACTTAATTTTTTTGTCACAACTGTCTCTTTACGTGTCGCAATAATTTGGAATAATATATAAAATATAACCAGTTTTGTCAAATCTATTCATTGTACCTACTGGACATTGTTTTACGCGTTCGTCTGTAGATATTAAAAAAAGTGAGTCTTATTTTTCCCTTCTATTTTCGCAGTTGTGTATTTAGTGCCACTAAATTCACTAATTTGTATAACTGTGTTCATTTAAAACCGATTTCTTTTCCATTACTCCCAGAAACGATGGGGCCTGTTCTTGATCTCTTATTTCATGTTTGAATTCCTTTCCTTTCAGTAATTTAGAACCTATATTTAATTTACGTTTGTCCATTTCATGCTCTTAATATTTTGAATATCTTAAAACTTTCGGGTTTTATTCGTATATTCCCATTTTTCTTGATCATTGAAGACAATACTTTATCAATCATGGTTTGTTCTCTATGGTTGCTGAATTAATAAATTAATTAATTTAGGGCTTGCAAACACAGCTATATTTTGAGAAATATGATTTCATAAAACGTGTTTGCGTGCTGCGAGAAATGTTTTACCAGATATATATTTAATTTATTTTCTGTTACAGGTCTGTTGGGTGGACCATCGCGATTAATCTCGAAGTTATGGCATCCGGAAGTTGGTGGTAAATTTATAGCGGATGGATGCACGTGCCAAAAAATTGTTCAAAATGGTGAATGATTTAGAAGACGGATATGAAGAAAATCGCACACTGCCGTGCTTTGATGAATTTTCCGTTGTTCCTGTTGATTTTTTATCTAGCGAAGAATGGAGATGCAGGTAATTTATCTTTAATTATATTCAACTGCTATGTAAACGTACATTTTATAAAATGTTTGCATGCTGATTTAAAAATGTAATCGGGAAGTGATTATGATATATTGTATTAAATAATAAAAGAGAAATGTCAATATTTATTGCAATATTAGTATTATTTTCAATCAATTGTGGGACCATATTTTACGGTGTATATAATATTAAATTATAAAATATAATTGTGATTGCAATAAATTGATGCAGATTTTATAGTGCGGTTTTACGTGTATTGCGCTTCATAAATTGACATTAAATCAATAAATAGAGCTTTGATGTTTCAGATGGACTAGTTTACCAAAGTTGCTTTCATGTTATATTTCTATGTTAAATTAACTGCTTAAATTAAATTCAATATCAACTGTCCCAAATAGATGTGGTATTAACGTGACTAAAAAAAGTGGAGTGTTAATTTATTTTAAACATTTGATACAAAATACGTGTTTGTTATATTTTTGTTTTAACAGATAATACACACTTCAATAAAAATATAATACTAAAAAAAATGTCGTCCCAGTGTAAAATCGTTTGAATAAATTTTACCCTGTTTATCTACTCACTCATTTGGAAATTTGAAATCAAATATTTACTACCTGGAAAAAATCGCCATTCATAATTATCTTTCACTAAAAATTAATTTCTTGAGTAGAGAATAAAGAAAGAAAATATCCATGCCTTTTCGGGCGTAGGAGTTTATATTGCTTCGACTGCTTTTAAAATGTTAATTGTGTAAAAATTCACTCTCTTTTGTTAGCTGAATAACATGCGAGTGAAATATTTACCGACTTGATAATGCAAACTTTTGCTTATTTGTTTTAGCTTAATTAGCGTTTCCTAATGAGCTCATTGTCAACAGAAAATGTAACACTATTAATGTATTTCAAATTTTGTTTGCTAACCCGGCGCATCCACCAAATCTAACCATACAATGAATAACACTCCACTCTATGCTTCTTCCTGAATTCTAAAAGACCTTCTTCGGTTTGAAGGTGCAAAGGAAAATGCTGACTCATATCTGTTAATCAATGCAAATGGGTTTCAAAAATTATTAAAATAATGTGGTTTTATTGTTTCACTCTTTGTAATTACAACATAACTAATTAGTTTTCAGGCTATTTGTTCATTTAATTAGCGGTAGGACGTCGATATCGTTTTGAAACCCTCACAACTCCCGCTTTCAGCGTCACACGATAAATTTGTTGCGTTAACTCGATGCTATATTTTTATTTATGGTTATCTAAACCCGGATTACATGATGTAATTCATGACGATGTTACAAATTATCTGAGGCAGCAGGATGCACCTCCATCATCAGACTGACAGCTGCTTGAACACGGAGCGTTTCTCGTATACAAACCAGTGGCGGAACTCAGATGTCCTTTGGCTGTGAGCGGTGTAATGGAGAACCCGTCGTTATCATCTTATTACAAAAAAAATGTTTGATTGATGTTATATACAAGGTGTTTCAAAACGTTTCATCTAGTTAGTTTTGGAATTTATTTAAATGTAATTTTATTGTGCCGCTCGCACTGTAATGTCAATAGTGTCACTTGTCAATCAATAGTGTTACTTTCATTTGTCAGTTAGTAATACATTGCCAATCACTTTTAATATTTAGTTAAAACATTCAAATAATAAGGAGATAAAATGTACACCGTACATGGAAACACTTTCATTACTGGAGCATGTTTTCGACTAAAATTTCTCAACAAAATTATTGAAGAAACTTCCTTGCACCATCACGTCTGGCAAATTATAGACATACTTCAAACAACGAGAAGCGTATTAAATGAAAAATCGACTGGAAAGCCACAGACAAATGAAAATGTCATGGGACAAGTGCAGGCGCTTGTTGAAGAAAATCCTCATTCATCATTACGTCGTCTATCAGCTCGAACTGACGTGTCCTTCAGTACAATTAGAAGGATTCTGTAAATGCGTTTGCGCGTGCATCTATATAAAATCACCCTGACCCAAGAAATCTTACCACGAGATTACAATAGTCGCATGCAAGATTACAGCTTCATTCAGGAGAATTTAAACAACGGCGACGTTCTTGATCTTAGCTTTTTCGGATGAAGCGTGGTTTTACTTGAGCAGTTATGTTAACAAACATGGAGTTGGAATATGGTTAGTCGTATCAGGTTGAAGAATAATTGGGGCAGTATTTTTGCACAATACACTTAAGGGATAACGTTACAGGCAACAACTGTTGGAACCATTTTTAGAACAGGTGCATTCGGAGGAATTTGAAGATGGTTTCTTCCAACGTCGTGTGCTTTTATGTGTTTAGAAAAATGGTGGTCACTTAAACACTTGCTGTAAAATCGAAAATAACGACTTTCGAAATTTATCATAGCCAAATTAATTGTTTCACTTTGCAAATGTCTTTCTTTTTAACTTTTACAGAAGCTTTGTGTCTACTCGTGACATGCGCAATATAAGATTGCCAAATTTATCAAACAGAAAATAGCCAAGTGCGGAGAAGAAATTTAAACAACAAACAGGAAAATTAAGCAGAGATTGAGCCAGCTTTATTCTTCCAATTGTCCCCGATGCGGACATCATTATCTAATCACTTTTCAAGAATATTTTGTAGTTATGCAACCAATAATTATAATTACAATTACCTTCCAATCATTATCTTGGTGAAGTGGCATTTTTTAATTTGCATGGAAAATCCATAGGCGACTAGATGAAAATCATTTTGAAACGACTTGTATTATTTTAAGTGTAGAGTTTTGATATTTAGTTTTTTTAAATACTGTGTTATCGAAAACATTTGGATTCAAAGCTGGCCTCAGTTAATATGTTCCAAAACATTAGGGCACTATATCATGAGCAGTTATTGGGTGATTAGTATAGAATGCTCAATTAGAAAATTTCGTGAACTTCAAAAAATGTAATAATGAAAATACAACACTTGCCACTTGTGCTAAACCACAAAAAATCATCTGCGTTGCCTTTCTAAGCCGTAATGTTTTTCTATTGGTGTGACTTTTAAAGTGTGAGATAGGATACTACAACATACAGTTTCTCGTCACGGCTTTCTTACAAATCAGATTTAAATGTTTATTCAACGTTTAACTCTAAATAAAATATTGGCCTTCAATAAAAAGACGTGGTAAAATATAACGATGTCAACAGCCAACTTTAGGTCCAAATCTCTTCGACCTTGTGATATAAATTATTATGATGATAAACTAATCAAGTATACTCGTATATCTTACTAGCTTTTCGCCTGCGGTTTCGCTCGCATAGACGATTCGTTGTGTTGAAGAGCATTATTACTAAACTTCTAGTAAAAAATGTTTCTAAAGGCGTTAATACAAAGTTTCAGTTAAAATCGGCATAAAAATATTTTTCCTCAAACAAAATTTGTCAACCTTTTTCATCATCTTAGAGATGGAAACTCGAAAAAACCTGAAATAAGTGATTGAAAAGTATTACCAAGTTCCATGTAAAAATTTACAGTAGAAATATTTTTCCCATACAAACTTCGCCACCACTTTTCATCCCCTTAGGGGTTGAATCGCGGAAAATGCTTAAATACGTGTTTCATTATTTGTGTTGAAGAGCATTAATACCAAGTTTCACCTAAAAATTTAAATTTACAGTAGAAATATTTTTTTTATACAAACTTAGCCAGTACTTTTCACCCCCTTAGGGGTTGAATCTCGGAAAATCCTAAAATACGTGTTTCATTATGCATTAGTACTAAATTCCACGTCAAAAATTTACAATATAAATATTTTTTCCATACAAAATTAGCCACCACTTTTCACCCCTTTAGAGGTTGAATCTCGGAAAATACTCAAATACGTGTTTCATTATTTGTATTGAAGACAATTAATACCAAGTTTCACGTAAAAATTTAAATTTATAGTCCTTAAATTCCTGTACAAACTTAGCCACCCAAACTGAGACAACACTTTTCACCCCCTCAGGGCTTGAATTTCGAGATATCCATTCTTAAACGATGTCTCCAGTTTAAAATGAACATCCTCTACAAATTCCAAATTTCTATCATTAGCGGTTTGGGCTGGGTGGTGATAGGTCAGTCGGAACATTGCCTTTTACATAACAGATTATTAATGCCATGTTAACAATTAATATTTCGCATATTTGTAATTTCATCTCAAAAATAAAATAAAGTAAAATTTCTAGTGCGGAAATAAATTTAAAATTTTATGAAGATAAAGAAACATTGTGTTTAAGACATAGATCTGAAACTCGGTGAGCTTCGTTCGTTCATTTTTTCTATTACCCGGAATATTTTTATATTTAAGAATTCGATAAAATATGCATGAAGCGCATAATTCTAAAGAAAGCAAAGACTAAATATAGAGATGTGTGTCACCGGAATGTTGCCCTGAACTATATTAAGATTTTTTTACTTTCATCTGAATTATTCAGAATTCTTCAACAGGCAATAATCAATATCGTTCTGGAATTTTCGGATTGTATAGCAAGACGTCCGAAAATTTTTAGTAGTCGTCGGTATATGTTTGCGTGTTTTTAAAAACTGCTGATTAGCGTCTGTTCTGGTTTTCTGGACGATTGCCGTCTATCGAAAATTTTTCAACTCTCGTAGCCCCGTGGTAGTAGATGTTTTTACAGTTGGGGTGGACAGTAGTCCATTGGCATTAAGTCATAATAATTAAGTCGGATTCTGGATTCTGGATTCTAATTATAAGGGTGCCGACCTTAGCTAGCCGGCCCATTGTGCCTTCCCCAAGTCCATATCAGAGTGTCTTTCTGCTCCTCTACTCGTCAAGCCACCCAACTGCTTGAGTAATGTAGAGGGTGGGAACTCCCTGATTTTTGCCATATTAGGCCAGATGTCGTTATAATGTGTGATTAATGTGTTCTTAATTTTTACCTCATAGATTGTAGTAAGGCAAGTGCCATAAACTCTATCATCTTTATTTATTATTTTTTTTCTGTTTTCCTTCATTTCCTTCTTG